TAGCCGGGTATATTATATTGTCTAACTTTTACGCAGCTGATGTGGCATTGGCTAAAAATTTATTTTGTAATTCGATTTAATGCGTAAATTGCTGTTTACAATTAATGCGGTTTTGCGGCTTAGAAGTTAGTAAAATCAGTTCAATTGTGGTCACACCAGGCTTTGATTTCTGCGACCCTAATTAAAAAAAAAAAAAAAAAATAGACCCGTTCTTATGGCTTTTAGATAGTGATATGAGATTTGCGCCGTAGAAGAGATTTGGATTTCAGCAATAATATTGCACCCAACAAAGCACTGTGTGCATTACTGATAACCTACACGTTGGAGATGGCCTATGGTCAATATAACTTTTAGTGGTGTTATATATATATATATATTATATATATATATGGCCTATGGTCAATATAACTTTTAGTGGTGTTAGTGGTGGAAGATTTTTGCTCCTGAAAATTGTTAGCCGCTAGAACTCTATATGGGCGAGGGGGATGGTGGGGTGGGGGAACTGAGTGAGTGCTCTCGAGGCATGGCATCCTCTTCGAGTGCTGAAAGTCCTGGGTTCAGGCCCCTTTAAAGGCTAGGATTTTTTTTTTCAATATGTACCAAGTAGGTCTCTACTGGTCTGAGGGTAGCAAGATCGGACGCCAGTGTGTATTGTTGCACACGTAAAAAAAATCCCTTGGCCGTTTGAAGTCAAAAAAAAAGAGTAGCCTAACGGCTCTGCTCATACACAATTTGGAGTTAAATATATATCCAAAGTATTTACGGATCCTCGCTGGTGCAACTGAGTTCGTGCACTTCGCGAGAACTTCAGACTCAGGCTTGAGTTAGAAGTGTAACGGAACACTTATGGGTTACTACCCTTTGCATAATGTGGATCCGTTGAACCAGCAAACAGTCATATGGGTGTGAATCATGTCCCAGTCCTTAATGAAGACAATGAGCGCTATGTCATCTGTGGGGAAGAAAATACATACTGAACATTTATGCATCTTGCCTCGGAAGCTGAATATTTGTGGCCATATTAGGCGCCATAGCGAGAGGCAAGGAACCCACAGTCTGCACACAAATGTGTCAGATCTGTCAAACGGATGCACACGCAACACTCAGGTTCTGGAACAGGACTGCAGTCTAGAAGTGGACGAGCAGCCAGAACTCTCCACCAGAGTTTACAGCTGGTGAACGCAAAGAAGAAGAAGCGTCATAGCTTGTGGGGGTGGGGCGGGGTGGGGTGGGTGGGGGGGGGGTGTGGGGGTGGGGGTGGGGGTGAGATTTAAGAGCTGAAGGCATGGTGCCAGAAAGAGGAAGCATGGGCCGACCAACACGAAGTTGGGCGCAGGATAGAAGTGACTCCTTGAGCAGGAAATTGCACGCGGTGGAAGATCTGGCGAGAGATTGAGTTTCTTTCAGGCAGACCGGAGCTTGACGAGAGCGATATTCTGCAAAGAACCAGTTACATGATGATGATGATGATGAAGATCGTGTGTAATTTTACTAGATAATTTTACCTTTAGTAGTGTGCCAGATCACTTCTGGTTGTGAGTTGTTGTGGACTCTGTCTCTATCTCTGAAGAAGAAGAAATCAGAGCTGTTGAGCTAAAAGGTTTTCCTGGAGAGAACGCTGATGGAGGTTGCAGTTTCTTGAAAACGAGACAGAGGCGACCTCCGTGAACATGGATACACGACATTGAAGAAGAAGTGGCCGTGAAAGCACATAGGGCTGGAGAACTGTTTAGAGAAAAGTCTTACAGATGTACCGTGACGAGAGCGGCGTTCTGTAAGATGGTACCTGCTCAGTGAGGATGATAAGTGTGTCATTTTTTCTGGACGTTTTGACGCTGTACCGTTGTCGAAATAACGCAAAGTGGTATTCTGGCAAATCTTTAGTATTTCGGAATTATGATACCGCATGCATCAACCCTATACCACAAACGTCGATCACTAGAGCAAAAAAGGGCACACTGAACAATAGCCTACGACATCTCCCCTTTATTTTCTATGAACGCCAATCAATACATGTGCATGTATATATAATTTTATTAGCCGTAACACAACCAACCGCCTTTTCGGTACGAGCTAGCAAGATGGTAGCGCTTTCTGGCTACCACCGTACGGTGCTAGCAACAGCTGCTGCAACTTTCAATATGTGAGCGTAGTTAATTCAATTCCTACGTGACCATTCATGCTTGTTGAGTTGTGTTGTGTGGTGAGTAATGTTTCATGTCAGCTGTACAAAGTTGTGAGTCAAAATTACATTGCGCCGTAGAATTAGAAGTTTGAGAGATCCCAAATATAGCGTATGTTTCGTCGTTGTTACAGCCTTAGATCGGTCAGAGTTTAGGCAAACCATTTTGCTTAGAGAAACAACAGTTGAAACTAAATTCACGGTGCCCTGAGTGAAAGGTCTGTTGAAGGTTCGCTGTAAATCTTCTGGGTGGATTGTTTTCAAGCCTATAGGTGGATTGTTGCAAATGCTCTGCATGGATTATAGTCAATCCTCTAGTTGGACTGTTGTATATTTCTTGGTGGATTGTTGTCAATCCTCTAAGAGGAATTGCTGTGACCCCTCTATGTCATTTGTTGTTAAACCTCTAAGTGGTTTGTTATGAATCCCAATTAGGTTTGCCTCTTGCACACTTGTCCTCGGTCTTTCCCTCCAGAATGCTTTTCGAAAGAGTGTTATATCTTTTAATGTGGCCAAAATATTTCAACACACTCTTTTTGGGGTTAATTTAATTAAATAACTCTCTCTCTCTCTCTCTCTCTCTCTCTCTCTCTCTCTCTCTCTCTCTCTCTCTCTCTCTCTCTCTCTCTCTCTCTCTCTTTTAATTCGCTGTCTTTCAGGAAGCTATGTATTTTTTTCCCTGAAATGAAATACGACCTGCTCTTCTGTAAATTCACATTTACAGAGATTCACTGCTATTTTTAGTAGCCTGTTCATTCTCCAGGTTTCTGCACCATACAGTAGACTAACGCAATGGTTCTCAAACTTTGTAATGCCGCCTCCCTTGAATACAATTACTAATGCTGTGGAGACCCCCAAACATATAATTATTTTAGTTACAACTCCCTAACTTCAGTGAATATGTTTTACGATGGTCTCAGACGACCTCTATGAAGTCGTCGTTCGATTCCCTAAAGAGGTCGTGACCCACAGGATGAGAACCGCTTGACTAGCATCTAGACATTACGCCCTTAGCGGTTCTTTTTCCAAAGACAAATTTTGTTTAATTCTGCCACACCTACTAATTTTGCCGCTCATACGCTTGCAATAAAACCACTGGGGCTACTTTCGCTTGCCCACCCAACGTACTCAAATGTTTCGTCGTCTTTTTGAAACTGTGTTTTAGCAAATACCCATGAAATGTGCTGTATAACTATTTTGTGCTTTGAAATCACAATCAAAGTGACTGTCCATTGGGCATTCCAATACGTGCTCACTCTTCCGATGCTGCAGCAAGTCCAAGGTGCCTCTACTGATTGTTTCCTTGAAGAATTCGCTTGTTATGTCCCCAGTCTCGGCCTCGAAGGCGCCACAGACGTGCTTCACTATGGTTTACTCCCAGGTCTGGCAATCGTTTTAGTTAGTCCATACAGCGTTGATGATATCTGCTCTGTACACGCTTCTTCCCCCATGCGTTCACGCATTGCTTTGCCATTTGTTCCGATCCCTCATTAACTTTTAGGCTGGCATGACCAGGGATGAAGGTCCAACCAACTGAGTGCGATTTTCAAATACTTTCTACCCATTCAGAGCTCATACTACCTTTTGCGATTTTCTGAAGTGTTGTGTAACTAAAGACACTTGTAATTGTGTTAACAATCTTCATTGTATCATGATCAATTCTAAGTTATGCTTTTCTCCAGGCTGGAAAACTCTACAAATTGTAGAATTTTTAAAAGAAAGCAACGCATCTTTTAAAAAATCTACTGTAGCGTTCTTTTTTTTTTTTTTCCAACGTGAAGAATAGCACAAAATAGAGATCCATTTTGGACAACAACTAAATATTGGCTAACCATTCGATATTACTATGCCCTAATATAACCTTATAAGCACTGGAAAAGGCTACTTAATTTCTCGTTTCTAGGAACTAAGTGTCGTATTTAGGCACTGACTTCGGTGTTTAGAAGAAAGTTCCAAACTTACATGTGTTTAGACCATTTTCTTATCTAGAAACTTAAATCGATGTTCAGAAGTTTCGGAGCAAGTTTTAGAAGACATCTAGAAACTTACATCTGATGTTCAGAGAGAAGACATTTTTATTACATCGGTGGTCAAGGAGACATCTTACCTAGAAACTTACATCGGTGAAACATAAAAAAGATGTTTAGAAGACATTAGAAGATATTCTCTTATCTAGAAACTTAAATCGATGTTCAGAAGACATTCTCCTATCTAGATAGATGTTTAGAAAACATTTTCTTATTCTTTTCTTATCTAGAAACTTACATCTGTGTTTAGAAGACATTTTCTTACCTAGAAACTTACATCGGTGTCAAGGAGACATTCTCTTATCTAGAAACTTAAATCGATGTTCAGAAGACATTCTCTTATCTAGAAACATAAAAAAGATGTTTAGAAGACATTTTCTTATCTAGAAACTTACATCGGTGTCAAGAAGACATTTTCTTATCTAGAAACTAACATCCGTGTTTACAAGACATTGTCTTATCTATAAACTTACATCGGTGTTTAGAAGACATTTTCATATCCAGAAACTTACATCCGTGTCAATGAGAAATTTTCTTATCTAGAAACTAATATCGGTGCTTAGAAGACATTTTCTTATCTAGAAATTTACATCAGTGTTGACGCAAAAGCTTTCTGTCTAGGGAGAAAAAAACCCGTCTGTGTTTGAAAGAAAGTTCAGTACATAGATACATACAACTGTGTTTAGAAGAGTTTCCTTTGAAAATATGTTAGTTCTGTACGAATCCTTGGATAATTCTGTAGACTCGAGAAGATAAACATTCTGTGAAATGAGTTTCGAGAGTTTATCGTCATGTTCATGATGTGCGGCGTACCAACTTTCCTAATTCTGGCGTGTACAGCATGCCTGGTGGCGGCACAGAAATGCTCACTTCCTCCTGGAGCAATTTTGTGGGATCCGAACCCTGCCAACACAGTCCATACTGTCAGCTGGGGCTACGGTTCTAACGTGAGTATTTTCGTCTTGTGTTTGTTTTCGTGTTCATTGCAGTGAACTTAAAAGTCTGTAATGTAAATGAGAGAAATAAACAATTTCCACTGGACAAAGAGGCGAAGAAAGAACGCTGGCGTAGGATAGGACACACATTGAGAAAACCTAGTAACAATATAACTAAAATATCTTTGCACTGGAACCGACAGGAGCATAGAAATAAAGGAGGACCGAAAAACACGGAAAAGGGAGGTTAAAAGGATGGGGTGGACCTGGGGAGAGCTTTATGCTACAGAGAAGGATAGAGCGACTTGGCGTGAGTGGGTTGAGGGCCTATGCTCCATTGGAGGCTAGAAAGGCAGAAGTAGAAGCATGTAAAGGACCCCCGACAGCCACATAGTGATAGACCTATACTTCTATAGACCATTGCTTGGTTGTGATCAACATCACGCATACCACGTTTACTTCCCGGAAAGAACTGCATTTCTAGTGTCAGACTGTGTGTGCTGACACTTCTGACAGCTGCCGTATACCATATTAATGCCCTTGTATGCGGCTGGATTTACTGAAACTTCAAGTCTGTGTTATATTTTTCACAGGGAACAGTGACAGACATTCTGTGTGTTTTCAGTGGCTCACCAGCAGAGCAACTAGGGGGTGATCCGTTTGCTATGCAGTTGGAACTGATTAAGTTATTTTATTACCTAGTGCCTATTTAAGGCTAAATTTATCTGGAAGTGAAGACAGTATAGCAATAATAATAATAATAATAATAATAATAATAATAATAATAACACTATTACTACTTCTACTACTACTACTACTACTACTACTACTACTACTACTACTACTACTACTACTACTACTACTACTACTACTACTACTACTACTACTACTACTACTACTACTACTACTACTACTACTACTATTACTACTACTACTACTACTACTACTGCTACTGCTGCTGCTGCTGCTGCTGCTGCTGCTTCTTCTGTTACTAATAATAATAATCATGTGAAAGATAAGCAGTTTTGAAGATGAAGTAATAGTTGACAGTGAGAAACTGGGCTAACATGTTAAATGTTAAGAACACAGAATATGCTATCACTAAGAAGACAGAAATACCAAACTGTGAAATACACGCAAACGGTACAATTCTTAAGCAAGTTAATAAATATAAATATTTTATAACAGTCATAACATCTAACGCCAGATACCTTGTAGAAATTACAATAACAGTTGCCATGGAAACAGTAGCCTTTAGCAAGATGCACAAGATTGTTACCAATAAGAGGATCTCAGTTACAGACACACACACAAACACACACACACACACAAACACACATACACACACAAACACACACACAAACACACACACACACAAACACACACACACAAACACACACACACACACAAACACACACAAGCACACACATACAAACACACAAACACACACACACAAACACAAACAAACACACACACACAAACACACACAAACACACACACACACAAACACACATACAAACACACAAACACACACACACACAAACACACACAAACACACAGACACACACAATTGTCGAACTGCTATCTAGAACTTGTAGAACCTGTGCTGTTCTATGCATGCGGGACATGGACAATGAGCAGACGAGTTGGACAACATTTACTGGCAGCAGAGATGTTGTTTTTGAAGTCAAAGGGCAAAGAATGACACAGAGAGATGGGGGAGGGGGGGGGGGGGACGAAGCAGTCCTCACAGAGACAGATGAAAGTTGTAAAGTTTTTAAAATAGTTAGACATCGACAGTATTTTTTGACACATTATGAGAAGAAGTGGACTTGAGAACTAGGTAATAACCGGCAAGATTGAAAGATTGATGGACAGAGAGCATGAGGAAGTAAAGAGAGAAATTCCTGATTGGCCTGGCAGCATGGATGGGGCGGGACAAAAACATTGAGCTGATCAGTGATTCTGGTGATCGTGTGGAATGACGAAACATCACAGCCTACGCTCACCGGTATGGCACATGATTATGATGATGATGAACACATGACGTGTGAATGGTTGTACCACTTGATTTTCCCCCATACCACTATGTGCTCTCTTACTTATAATATTTTGTTCAGAGCATATTTAAGAAATCTGGCTTGTCCACTGGCCACTACGAACTTAAATTCGTTCTTTGACCGACATGTATGCGAGCCGAAACAATTGTTCTCACTGAAATCAATGCGAATCCAGTTCATCCGTTCGTCCACTCCAGAAACATATTGTTGTATTTGACATTTTAATAGATGTATTTGTGACAAAAATATATAATATAAAATATTGGATATAAATTTACCTATGTGATGATAGTTTCTGGCACAGGTGATAGAGGAGGAGGAGGAGGAGAAGAAGGAGAAGAAGGAGGAGGAGGAAGAAGATGACTCATTCGTAACGGTCGGGCAACGGTGTATTTATTTCTAGTGTTTTTCTCCCCCATTCCAAAGTCTCCCCTCCCCCCCCCCCTCCCCCCTGTTTGCATTATGGGAAATGGTTCGATTGCTGGCTCGGTGGCTGACAGTAATGTTGCTACTTCTTCTAACTTCTAATGTTGCTACTTCTTCTAACTTTTAATGTTGCTACTTCTTCATGACAAAGAAAGAGCTGACTAGCTAGCAAGTAATGCACCAATGCAAATGGGAAAAAGTATGGACAGAGCTGATATTATCAACGCCGTACGGATTAGATTGGGAGATAATGGCCAATCTCTGACGCTAACACGATTTCGTGACCGAGAAGTTAAGCTTGGTGAAGCACGACTATGCCGTCTTAGATGTAAAGACAGAAGATACTATAACCAACTCCTTATGAGAACAATAAGTAGAGGTACCTTGGGGTGGTTGCTGCATCGGAGGACTGAGCACGCATGGGGATGCCCAATGTGCAAAGACATCGATTGTTGATAACATAACATAACTTCTTCACCACTCCGTGGTGTGGCGTCTAGACGCTCGCCTGCAGATCGGAAGGTCGTAGGTTCGGGTCCACATGGAGCCGGACCTTTGTTATTTTCTTTTTAAAATGACCTTCGCTTTCAGGTCCACCAAACCTTGAGTGGGTACCAGGTGCAGTCCTGGGATAGAATGACTTGGTGTATGAATTGGTAGAGGGTCTGTGTTCTATTTGGGAATTAAAGGCAGAAGAAGAATCACATAGCCGAAGCCTTATTGGCGTGCAAGTGTCACTGTTACTTTACACGTGTGCAACGATAGATATATTGTTCAGTCCTATTCATGTTTCCTGGCCCATATTTAGACTCTCTCAGTCTGGTCTATGTCAGAGGGGTATCACGTTGTACTTTTTTCTTCGAAAATCGTCTCTCGTGTGACCTAGGCTCCGGCTGTGGGTAGGGGCAGAGGTTGGGACCAGTTTTAAATGTTCTGGTGTCGTTAAAGCGGTGTCGTCGTGTAGTTTAGAACGCGCGACATCGGCGCTGATTTAACTGGAGGCAAGACAACGTGATGCCCCTCTGACGTAGAACAGTCTAAGACAGCATTAATAAAAGGTCATCCAGTGTGTAGAAGGACCGGGAAACGTGAATAGGACCGATTGTCCACACACCCACCTACACACAAATGTCCCGGACTGCAAGCACATCTTCAAATAAGACGGGAAAGCACCGATAAGTAAATTAACGTGGTCCAAGGCAGAAAATCAATGCAGAGACGGGACTGCACCAAAGAAAACACGCTGGCACAGAAAAAGTTGCTGTGTGGCGCAATTACTCAGAACTAGACATCCAGTAATGGTGCTCCGACAGTAAAACAGGATTGCTCGAGTAGAAAGGAATAAATGAGATTAGTTCGAGCTTCAGATGTGGCCAAACCGGGCTTGTCTGGGTCAGTCGCCGGTGACCCCCACAAATTATCGGGGCTAACATCTCTAGCCGACATCGACTTTTGTCTTCTTATCGGAGGAAAGGTAATTAATTACCTGAATAAATGTGATTAGTAATAATGTATATATTACTGGCGGAGGGGAAAAAAAAAGGGGGGGGGGGGAAGGTCACTAAACCTCGCCCACGACTTTTGATTAAATTATCAGTTATTTTGGTACTTTTGACTTTAGGAGAAATGATAGATAAAAACCCGAACGAAAAGTACATCATCGAGCTTCACAATATAACAAACACAAACAAACGTTGTGGCTATGGAGCCTTCATCAGGAAGGCTTTAGGAGCAATGGTAGCTCCATAGCTTGCCCGCTGATTTTATGTTAATCTATTACATTTTTCTGGCAAAAGGGAGAAGGGGAACCATTTTTCTTTTGGTATGCGCTATTGGGTCGACTTAACCTAAAATAAGCAGCTGAATTTTTTTTTTCATCAACCTTGTATCCATCTTGGCGATTATAATATGGCCAGATATTTAAAGCCGCCGTAGACTGCTTGGGTTCATTCAACTGTCAAGTTCACTCAAATTCACTCGTCCACTCGACTCGCTCCAGCGCCAAACACATAAGGATTCTTGGTTCTTTCACACTTCTAATCATCCGTTTCAATTTCACCCATTACCCCAGCATTGCTCACATATTCTTTCATAACAGTTATACTTACCTACAGATTGTCTTTTCTAGCCTGTGGTCTTCCTGAACCCCGCCCCTAACACATAATTTATGCTAACTAGATGTTTATTTCAAACGATAGCAGGTGGAATTTACCTGCAACACTTTAACAGTACGTGAAATAATCCTGGTGACCTAATTAACACGGGTTTAATATTACTTCGAAAAACATTTTGTCTTCTTCATTTTCAGCGGCAGTAAACCCTGGCGGAAAGTTTTGGTTGTTCGTCAGTTTCTTTACTCTAGTCCGGTTTTAGTTGTTCATCAAATTCTTTACTCTGGTCCGGTTTTAGTTGTTCAGCAGCTTCTTTACTCTTGTCCGGTTTTGGTTGTTCAGCAGCTTCTTTACTGTAGTCCGGTTTTGGTTTTTCGTCAGTTTCTTTACTCTAGTCCGGTTTTGGTTGTTCGTC